TCTTTCTTACTTTTGATTTTTTGAATCAATCTAAAAAAATTATACAGCGTTAAGGACTATTCTTTCCACATTTCCACATATATCTTTAATATTAGTTCTTCGGCGATTTTTGTAAAGAAGCTCAGTTTTCACATACACTCTCATTTTCAACTTCCTGGCAGAGATCATTTTAAACAGTTTTCAGATCAGTGTAGTGACCATGCTTACTTGAAAAAAGAATTTCTTTGCAAGATTAATAGGAAAATTCATGGGGTTTTCTGTGTTTAGGAGCTATTTAATTGACCGTTTTGAACTGTAAAAAAATTAAACAGATCTACATTTATTATGATATATATATATATATATATATATATATATATATATATATATATATATATATATATATATATATATATATATATATATATATATATATATATATGACTGCCGTCATGAGAAAAGGGCCCTTATCTTTTGACGTCACAATATGCAGAAAACGACGTCAAAGTCGCGGTATTGTAAATACGAAAGTAATTTTTGTCGACTGCGTTTTGTGAACAAGAAATAAAATTGGATTTCCAGGTGTTACAAGCAAAACATTAAATCATATGGAATTTGATGCGGAAATTTATAATAAATAATATAATTACTCACTAGTACATACATTTATTAATTATTCTGTTTAAGTATTGAACTTGATATCACATAATTAAGCTAAACGCGACATTGAACTCAATTTTAATTACTACGATTTATAGCGATGTGTATATATGATGCATGACTAATTAAAGATACTGGATATTTGTTTTCTGCAAATGTTTAAATTTACTCGTATTCAGTCGACTGTCTAAATATTAAATGGTATTCTACATACACGTATATTTTTTTCAGAGAGAGAGAGGGAGATCAATGTATATATACACTTCTTTATTCTAAAAAAAAAAAACCTTCATGTAAAATGTATTTAGCCCTTTTAATTTTGATTCATAGTTAATGATATCGATATGCGCAGTTAGACCAGCTCAGGGTGAAGCGTCGATATCCAAATGTGTGTTTGATGGGGGGGGGGGGGGGGGCTAGGATCATTGGAAAGCCAAAAAAAAAATCTCCGAATAAAAAAGCAATCGGCAAAAGTTCAATCCATATAAGAGAACCTTTTTATGATATCAGTATAAATACTGTATCTATATCTATGGCCCCTATATAGATAATGTTTTGCTAAATTAACAGGAAGAGAATATGCTGAGGGGAAAAACGGAAGAGGAGGATGCCACGGAAATTTTGCAAAATTTAAATTAATATAAAAAACATTTTGAATTGATCAAATAAATAATACATAAAAAGTAGTCTCTGATAAAAATTACTATTGTATCAATTTTCTTAAATTGTATAAAACTGACTTGAAATTGAATTGCAATATGTTTAGGAAATAAATACAGCTAATGTGGACTTTTTCCAAAAGCATTTTTATCAATGTTGGGAAAAAAAATAACAATTACATAGACAGTGATATTAGGATAAAAGATATATATGGAACAGAAGAAACAACAGATTAAACGATAGATTAGGCTGTAAAGAAATTACAAACTTCTGATGAATGTTGATACGGCGACATCTTTTGAAAATAAATCACTGATAGAGGAATTAGTACTATAGTAACAAGTGGTTATGAGTGTCATATTCAAATGTTAAGAAAATTTTCAAAAAACATCAACCACGTGCACACCAGTCGTAAGACAAAAAAGACAATCAAGAAATCTAAACTTTGATAAAGATGAAAATAAAAATAAATAACACTGGTGGTGTTTCGAGCGGAAAAAAACCCGGAGTTTCAGGCAAAACTTTGATAACCTTAAAATATGTGTTAAAAAAGCATTTTTTTATGGCTGATAGTTTAATTCATGTACATATGTATGTTATAAATTAGTCACGTTTCGTGTTGAAATCTTGGACGTCGAGTCTCAGCTTCGATATCTCGATACCCCGGATATCTCGACATTTTTTGAAAGTTCCGTTGATGTCGGGATACTGAAGGAAAAAGATTAAACAAACATGTCATCTTTCTGATTTTAAAGAAAAAAAGTTTTATTTCAGTCGTGTGGTAACAGGCAAAAATAAGTCATGTTCTTTAATTTCGAAATTCTGACAAATTGTTATTTTGTGAAACAATAACTAGGAAAAAATGGTTTGTCTATTAAGAAAAAAGCAGATACAAAGTCGCCTATGAAGGTCAGGTTAGAGTGGTAGAGTTATAAACATGGATATTGCTTAACCGAATCGCCTCATATACAAAGGTCAGGTTAGAGTGGTAGAGTTATAAACCTTCGATGGGATGTTGCTTAACCGAATCGCCTCATATCCAAAAATATGTGTGGTGTTGGACGTAATATTTAATTATTGTTTTAGAATATAATTTTATGTACATTTCATCGCATCGAAATATGAGAAGCTTAGGTGTCTGGTTAGCTGATGCCACAGAGGAAAATGAAAAGATGACCTTAATCATGTTTAAATACATATATTCAAGCAGGTCCATAGCTACATTTTCAAAATTTGGGGGGGGGGGGAATTTCCTCCATAATTCGGACAAGCAAAAAAAAAAAAAAAAAAAAAAAAAAAAAAAAAAAAACAGAACAAAACAAAAACCTATAACGACCAAAGAGTGGGGGGGGGGGGGGGATCAGCTTCCCAAAATAATCTGACAAACAGACAAAAGGGAAAAAAACTTATCTGTACAAATCCTGGAATTTGCCAGTGCTTCACCTTACAACAACAAAACCAAGGGGGGGGGGCAGCACCTATAAAAGGAAAATTTGGTATAGCAAAATACTATGCTCAGAAAAAGTGGGGGCAGGCCCCCTCTGCCCCTCCCCCCTCCCTTCCCGCGTTCTACGGGCCAATTAAGTCTCGCATGATATCGGTTTCAATTTCAAATAAATTTCATAAAAATCGTAATGCAACTGTATTTCATTTCGCTCAGAAAAATCCGTTTAGTATATATATAAATTATATATATATATAAAAGAGCTAAGAGCAGTACAACCATTTCTTTGATCAAACAAAACCCCCCCTTTTTTTTTTTAGATTAGCGGCCCTTTTAAGAAATGATGAACGATAATTGTTCAGTTCAAGTGATACTGCAGTAGCGTCGACGGCAAAGGTGCCTCAAAATAAAAATAAAAAAATGTACAGAAACATTTATAACCGCTTTTGTTTAAAAAAGTAAGAAGTTGACAAAAAATTTTAATTTTCATGTACGGACTAAAGGTTCATAAGACAAATTAATCCTTCGACATCATTATGTGCCTCTTTGTTATGTTTCTACTCCATAACTAAGACAGACGAAGAAATTGAATTGTATAAACAATAGAAACTTAATTATTAAACATTTTTATTAAAGTATTCAAAAAAAAAGTTCAATAAAAATTCCTCTCGGAAGTAGTGAAGAGAATTTTTTTTATATATTAATTATGATTTTTTTCATGAAAAAAAAAAAAACCCACATCATGGTATATCTGAATTTATTTCCCATTTGAATTTTTCGGTGATACAGAAAAGACATGAGGTGTTATTATCCCTTCGTAACAAAGTTATAGGGGATGAAATGTGGATGAGTGAATGTGTGCTTATATCCGAAAACATTTTTTTTAATATTGGATCGATGTGCTCTTTTGCGAGGGGATACCCCGTTTTAATTGCACAGGTGCCCTTCTGGGACATATATATAGAACTTTTAATATTACAAGTGCTTGATATCTTTTATAAATTGAGCTAGAGTATTAAAAAGAATACGTTGTGTGGAATTCAACAAGTATTAATTTTTCGACTGAATAAAATCGTTCCTAGACCCTGTCTAGACCCCCACCCCTTCCTTTACGAAATTACTAGGTCTGCTCTAATATAGTATGTAAATAGTATGCGACTTCCCTCATGAATAATTACATACTAGTTGCTTGGAAGAAAAAAATCTCCAGTTTATATGTGTCAAAAATATTAAGGTTATTTTAAAAATATAGTTTTTTAAAGAATGTTTGGAAACTTAATTTGACGCACGTGATGTCATTACGTTTTCAATAAGTAACGTCAACGTTGTTTTGAAGCAGCCTTACTAAAATGTTCATAAAATATTGAAAACGTGAGATATTTTATAAATTGATGTATATTTGTATTCAGAAAGAGTCATGCTATCAAAATTTACCAAAAAGTCAATTTGTGAAATTTTGACCTTAAGGGCCCTTTTCTCATGACGGCAGTCATATATATATATATATATATATATATATATATATATATATATATATATATATATATATATATATATATATATATATAATCTTTTATCTTAATTATTCAACACACTTTATGAGATGTAAGATGAGTGAATAGACAGAGATATGAAAGAGTAAGGGTCATTTTAACATATTGCCTTTAAATTGTATTAAGTTGTTTGTTTTAAATGTTGACGATAAGATGACCCGAGTCTGGTGATTTAAAGATTGTTATTGGTATTTTTACGTCCCCATTTCAATTAATGCATGACGAAGCTGTTAAAATCTTAATGGTCAGGCGGAAACGCTGAAAGGAAAATAAATTCATAAGTTTTCATTGGCTCCTGTTGAATAAATAACGTTACTGGTCATCATTCCGAACCAGAAATGATAAACTATATAAGAAAGGATCCGAGTTTCCAGGAATATTCAAGCACTGACCGAAGAAGTAAAGATAATAACAAAGAAGTAAAGGTAATAACAAAGCTGTGAAGTTATTAACATATTTGCTAAAGCTACTATCTACTTTTTAACTTAAATTTGCTTTCAAGCTTAATGAAGTTTTCAGAAATAATATTAATGGTAATAAGTATAACATAATGACATGATGTATTGTCTTTGTTTTCTTTCTTGGAACATAAATGCACGTGCATAATTGAATTCATACGATATTTTACAATTTATTAACTCTTTTCTTAAACATGTACAGATTTTGAGGTATTTTCTGAGAAGACATCAAAGTAAATTTGGAAGATGTATGCTCTGGTGACGTTTTCAGTTCTTGCATACAGTTGCATCGTACAAGGATTGACCTCAGAAATTAAAAAAGAAAAGATCAGTGAGTCAACTCTTAGTTAGTTTTCCTTTGAATGCTTTAAAAAAATCTAGATATTTTCAAATAATATTAAACATGAATATGGTGATATTATGAAATTATGTTGTCTTTTCTACGATAGTTTTATACATAAAATCGATGTATTACAGGTCCCCATATCGACGTCTTGAAAAAACAATGTTGTCCACGTCGTAACAGTATGTACATTGATCTAACTAATGGTAAAGTCTGGGGTGGAGCAGAGGGCGTGTCTCAGCCAGTATTCACACCACAGTCAAACATCGAGGAATGTGGAGTTATGGCCGACCTGAGAGCTAACTTCCAGAATCTGACAAACTGCCTTCAGGATTGGCATAAAGATGGTTGTGTCGATTTTCCAATGTGTGGACGACGCATGCTCAGAATAGACATGTATCTTGGGAAAGAGCGCGGGGGTTATATGTTCAACGTTGGAGACAGTCCAAGCAATGACGGATGGGGTAAGCATTTGTGTAGATGTTCAATTTCCTAAGTATGTTTTACTTTTGTATTTATCTGGATTTAATGAGATACTTGAAAATAATAAAGATATGATTAATTTTTTAGTGGTTTAATTTATGTTGAAATAGGTGGCGATGGAAGTGACACTAAACACGATGCCGAATTAATGGGACTTTATTCCCATATCTGGGAATTCAAATCAGATTACTGTAAAACGGAGAAAACAGAATGGAAAAACACTCTTTTGGCCCCAAATGTTTCAAAAGTCACTATTTTTGTTGCCAACAATTATGTCAGGATCCTGAACGACCAAGGATTTGAGGTTAAAGGGTGTCACAAATGCCTGTTTGCTCTCAATGGACAGGACCCCGAGGATAGAGCGAACACACTTTACATGGCTTTTAACAACATGATCAGAGGAACTCATCGACGTGGGTATGGAGTGTGTCGTGTTAGTATTCGCTGGGAATGTCCGGATTGTGAAAGAAGTCTTCAGTTTCCGATAAATCCCAGTATCAAAGGAGGTGTATAACTCATAACTTCATGAACAATAATAAATAATTATAAATTTTTGTTGTTGACATAAATGACCCTTTTTAAAGGAAAAATCGAGCACATTGTCTATGAAAATGCCAATTTCCTATCGAAATAAATGAATGATTTTTAGTTTGTTGTTGAGTAATGTTTAAGTTTTTCTTTACGATGACTGATGTCAGAAGAAAAAGATCATTGAGAAAAAATTGTTAGGATACGTTTCAATCCTCGAAGAAAGGAATTTTGCTGATACCAAATAACAGTACACTCCTTCATTTCTCGTGTTAAAAGCATGTTGTTAAATTCTTTATAGAAAGAAAAGATGAAGAAAATCATGAAACATGCCTGAGAAATCAGATATTAATAATTTTTCAGATGTCACACAAGTTCATTCTGCATTCTTCCTCCGTCTCTATACTGATGTTACAGTTTATGACAATAACTTGTCTTGTCTTGAATTGTCACCATGAGCAAGACTAAGTCTGGACTTTCACTTAATTTACAATGTCTGTCTAAAGCTATAATTTAATAGATAACGGCACAAGATAGTTCACAGTGCTCAACTCTGATTTCATTAAAGAATTACAGGACAGTTAGGGTACCGACAGCCTGTTTAAACAGTAATGAACACTTCACAGACTGACCAATTACCCATGCAATCTCAATCAGGAGAGCCATTGTTACCTCCAAATCAGCTTAAATAGATATGTGAAAGCGCTAAATTATCACCGTTTGTACAAATTATTTTTTAAAAAATAAATTTTACAAAGTTGCATTCAAATTTACATATATTTTATTTATTCTGACTAACCGATTCCATATTTTCTAACCGATCAACATCGTTCCGACCGAGTAATCGGTTAACTGGTTAAAAATTGTCATCCCTAATATACATCTATATATATATATATATATATATATATATATATATATATATATATATATATATATATATATATATATATATATATATATATATATATTAGGGATGGCAATCGAATACAGAATTGCTAATCGGTTAACCGAAAGACGTTCCGACCGATTAACCGGTCAATCGTATCAAAATACACATTTTCCTTATATTTTATTTTTCAAGTAGACTACAGTTATATACACAAGAAAACCGAAAAAGGCGTTAATGCTTGATTAGTACGCTATATGTTATATTTTATTTCAATTTCGAACGGCGAGAAAAAATAAGGAAACCATGAAACATCTCTTAAATATCGCAAAAATTGATGTTGTTACAACACAAGGTCATTGTGCAATGCACCATAAACAGAAACTGAGTCTGAAATAATTTAGAATGTTTGTTTGAAAATGTAATTTGACAGATAACTGCGAAGGATAGACGGGGTAAGATACCCAATGCAATCATTTAAATCATTTAACAGAACTCAACAAAGATTTAATTAATATCATAATTAGGACAGACTGGGTAACGACATGGTATTTAAACAGCAATTAACACTTCGCAAAGTGACCAATTACCCCCAGCAAATTCAATCTTGAGAGTCTTAATTAAATTATTTACCTCCAAATCAGTCGAATTAAATGTGGAAACGTTATAACTTCAAGTTTTTTTTTAAAATTGTAAATCGTGTTTTAAGGAAATTTACACCTATTTTAATTTTTTCCGCCGACTAACCGATTACAGATTTTCTAACCGATTACCATCGTTCCGACCGAGTAACCGGTTAACTGATTACAAATTGCCATCCCTAATATAAATATATATATATATATATATATATATATATATATATATATATATATATATATATATATATATATATATATATATATATATATATATATATATATATATATATATATATAAAAATAAAAATCCAAAAAATCACAAAATATTTTCTGCAAGCGCTTTCGCCATGTTAGGCTCTTCAGGCAGTTATACAAATGTCAGGTAGGTTACCTGGTAACGTCCAAAAGCAAAAGATTTTATGCATATTATGTGTTCAAGTTAATGCAATATTTGTACATTATCTAATACGGCAACTTTACGCTACCTTGATCTATTATGACGTCACCATGAACTTTTGCTTTTGGACGTTACCAGGTAACCTACCTGACATTTGTATAACTGCCTGAAGAGCCTAACATGGCGAAAGCGCTTGCAGAAAATGTTTTGTGATTTTTTGGATTTTTATTTTTAATACACCCAGCAAAACTGTACCGGTTCTTCATTTTGTTTTTGAAATTATATATATATATATATATATATATATATATATATATATATATATATATATATATATATATATATATATATATATATATATATATATATATATATATATATATATATATATATATATATATATATATATATATATATGAGAGAGAGGGGGGGGGGGGGCTAATCCTATATAAGTTTGTAAGATATAATAATGATGCTTAGGTTCTGTGAAATATTATTCTTTATGAAAAAAAATTATAGAAAAGGAAACACCATATGTCAAACTAATGGTTCATCAAAAACAAGATTTTGTAAAGATATTAACAATATAAACTGTATACTGACACACTCTACAAAAAGTATTTTTGAATTTGTAAAAGTTATCAATACAACTTGAAATGAAAGGAAATTTTAAAACAAAAAAACTTTTGATTTCAAGTACAATTAAGAATTCCTATCATGAGAATTTTTGTCCTACATTTTTTTTACAGTGTTAGTAGTTAAAAATTGAAAAATAATATCTTGATACAATGATATTATTTGAGAAAATGTATTCTCATAAAAATCCTTGCTCACTTAATTGACCAATCAGATTGTTTCAATTTCTTATTTGGTTTTTGTTTTTTTGTAAGCAATATTAATGGATCTAATATGTCGTCACCAAGGCTTAACGTACTTTAGGTATGACTACCTTTTATGATGTGAAGGTAATCTAAACTAGGTATTCATTCACATTTTCAAATAAGGTCTCCAATATTCTGATTTAGATATCGATGCTTTCAGACTTCAAAAGATCAGTTTCTCAGGGCATGAAGAAAATAATTCTAATCTTGGGCCAGTTAATGCGTCTTTCCCTCTCCCCTTCTCTGTCTGTCTGTCTGTCTGTCTCTCACTCTTTCTCAAAATATGGAAGACACCATTTTATCTAGTATATCTTTTTCCTTTACACAAGTTGTTATTTATTCAATCAGAATGTACTCAGTGTACGCTTTATTGAGATTACTTGTAGTATCCAATGTATTTAATTTATTCAAAAGTTTTGAATTGTAACCAATAACATTAATGAAAAATATGTATAATTGAAATTATCTGCATGATATTTTGATGTTCATGTTCCTTTCTGATGCTTTGAATTTTTAGCTTTACTTGTTCATGTGAAAAATGGAAAAATGAGTGTTTTTTGGTAGCTGATACATGTATCTATAGCCCCAAACCCGTATATATGTTTGACTAAAGCCTTTTACGTAAGCCATCAAATAATTTGCAATTTCTTTTTTACATAGATACGTATGATGTGATTTAGGTATCCTTAAAAATAAACATTAAAAAAAATCGTATGTTTAAAAAAAAAAACCCAGCTAACTTTCGGACCAAAAAAAAAAAAAATTAAATTAAAAAGCATTCCAGGGACTGTATATCTTGAACAATATGCAACATGTACACATTTAATGGATCAGCATTTAGTCCTCAAAACAGAAGTGGCATCATGACTTGTCGTATTTATACTCTGACATTCATTAAAATAAATGATTAAATTCGGACTATTTTAGATTTGTTAAGGTTTACAATGTCTAAGGCAACCTAAATAAAATAATCTGTCCATGTCCAGAACAAAGTACACATGTCCCTGGTTAATCACTCAAACATATTGAGGTATGTGACAGGATAGTCTTTATGAAATATATGGAGATAACCAACAGTATTCAAGCTCAAAAGTCCATTATACAATACAAAATAGAAGCAGAGCAAACACGGACCTCAAAACATAAGAGGTGGGATCAGGTGCCATGGAGGAGTGAGCATCCCCTGCCGACCGGTCACACCCGCCGTGTGCTCCTTGTCATGATCGGCAAATAACGGAAAAATCCGTCGACAATTCTGTGTTAATAATGGCCTAACAATTAGTATGAAAAACGTCAGTCAGCATTTGACTCAATGATAAATTGTATTTGCTGACAAGGTCATTGTATCGACCATAGAACTTACGAAATGATGACTTTAAACGAGACAGCTGATATTCTTGTTTCATCAACTTATTTGTCAATAATTTACCTCGTTTTAGAAATTGTACATACGTAGAGCATGCTCTTGCGTATCGAATCAACTGAGAGATATATACCCCGTATGCAGGTGATGAAGGTATATTGCTGCATAAGTAAGGGAAGTTGACGATTGAAAAGTTAAAGTCATCACGTTTATCATAAAGCTTGGTTGTTAAATTACCATTAACGTCTTTTTCAAGTAAAATATCCAAATATGAAACAGATGTGTCAGACTCTGTGGTATCTTTTATCCTTTTTGATTGGTTAGGGCGGTAGCTTATCAAATTATGGGCCTTTTAAAAACATTTCCAGAATTTCACCTCAATTGAATCTGCGTCTGAAGATAAACATTCTCCGTCTATTTCGTTCTCTAAACGAACTGAAGGAAAGTGATAGTGAGAATGTCAGAAATGGGTGAATTAAAAAAAAAATGACCACCAAACTGAATTTTTTTGGCAAAATTCAACTACTTATAACATATTTTTCACTTATATCATCATATTGCAAATGCATTCTAGTTTAAAATCCTGAAGTGGCAATGGAATAGACAATTGGATTAAAAAGTTTCAGAATTTTTATTAGTAAAATTTCTTTTGAAAAAAGAAAATATCATTACACCTTGAAAGACTTTCTAAAATACATAATCACAAGAAATTATACTTTTTTATGCTTCAAAATGGTAAAAGGGGTATAGATGATTAAATCTAGACATTGAATGAGTATCTTCTCTTGTACATGTGACAAAAAATTGGTTTTTTG